GGAGGTTGCAGTGAGCCGAGATTGCACCACTGCACTCCAGCCTGGGCGATAGAGTGAGACTTCGTCTGGGAAAAAAAAAAAAAAGTAAAAAGGAGAAGGAGAGAGAGTGAGAGAGAAAAGGAAAGAAGGGGTGGGGAAAGTTTGGGGTGTTCAGTGAGTCAGAGATTTGGGATCAGCTGCACCCTACATAGGGGCTGGCACATGGTAGGCCCTCAACTGGAGGAAAGAATGAGAGAATGGTGGGAAAGGAGGGATTTTGAGAATTTGGCTATGGTAGACATTGTATCTCCTAGAATATTCTGGGAGAAATCTAAGACTAGAATTCTTCTTCTTCTTCTTCTTCTTCTTTTTTTTCTTTTTTTGAGACAGAGTCCCGCTCTGTCACTCAGGCTGAGGTGCAGTGGCACAATTTCAGCTCACCACAACTTCCGCATCCCGGATTCATGCTGTTCTAGTGCCTCAGCCTCCCAAGCAGCTAGGACTACAGACATACGCCACCAAGCCCGGTTAATTTTTGTATTTTTAGTAGAGACGGGGTTTCACCATGTTGGCCACGCTGGTCTCGAACTCCTGACCTCAGGTGATCCGCCTGCCTCAGCCTCCCCAACTGCTGGGATTACAGGCGTGAACCACGGCGCCCGGCCTGGAAATCTTCGTAAATTACTTGCGTTACCAAACTTTACTTCTTTGAATACAACTCGTTGTTGAGGTTTGGCCACACGGGGCTCTGAGCACATAAATGGGTTCTCATAGGGGAAGCATGGAGGGTGGTAGGCTAAGGGCATCCACTTAGTGTGGTGGGTCGGGTGGCCAGCTGACCCTTAGTCAGGAGAGGGAAGGATATTCAGGTAGAGGAGGCGCCGCAGCAAAGGCTGGAGGACAGAGATGCTGCAGTGTGGGCTACGGCTTTGCCTCTCGGCCAACTGGGCCCCAGGCCTAAGAACTGAAGCGATGGGGATGATCCACACCCAGACCATGGGATATGGAGGGGTCCATCTATGGCGGGCGCCGGTCTCTTTCTCTGCGTCCGAGGGTGTCTGGAGGGAGAGAGAAGCGTCTGGAGGGAGAGAGAAGCCTCCGAAGGTCTCCCGCCGCGTGTCTTCAGCGGGGTTTCCTGCAGAGGGCGCACAAACGAGGCAGTGCTGAGGCCCGCGAGCTGCCGCTCTAGCCGAAACCTGGTCACAGAGTCGCACCGCTTCCGTCCGTCGGACAGAGGAACGGTGGAAGGAGCCGGAAGTCCGGTGGGCTCCAGGCGTCGCGATGGAGGAGAGTGGGTACGAGTCGGTGCTCTGTGTCAAGCCTGACGTCCACGTCTACCGCATCCCTCCGCGGGCTACCAACCGTGGCTACAGGTGATTTCCCGCCGCCAGACTAGGCTAGCTCCGATTTAACCCTTTCTCCGCCACCCGGACACACCCACTGCGGGAACCGAGGACAGCCCTGGCCAGTTTTGGGGCGAGGGGGAGCTAATGCTGCTGCTTCTTCCAGTTCCAGGCCCGAGCAGGGAGGCGGACCCAGAGTTTCGCCCGTCTCAGTACGACGCGCGAAACTCCTGGCGGCGGGGAGGGCGTTAAAGCCGTATCTAGCGCTTAGGGACCCCGGTGGGCTGCCAGGTACCCTAAACTTGGTCGGGGGTGGTGATGTCACAGACGCTTCTCTTTCAGCGCTAACCGGTGGCCTTGAAGGGATCCTCGAAAAGCCTTAAGCGGGGAGGTACCCTATCACAGACGGAAATATCCGAGAGGAGGGGAGGGGAGCCCAGAGCCGGCTGAAAGGACCGGTCCCAGGGAGCTTTAAGCTGACAGTCAAAGCCTGGGGACCCCTTCCTGCCCAGATCCCTTCGCACGAATTTCACCCTTGATCACAGCCTGGAGCAGTTGGGAGGACCCCATCTACATTTCTCTGATCTCTACCTGAGACGAATAAACACACACGCTTGTAAACATACAGAGTATCTCTGCAAGGGAACACAGGAAACTGCCCTAGGGGAGGGGAACCGCCCTTGGAAGGAGACTTCCTTTCCCTTTTGTACTGTTTGCATTTTACTACCCTTTGTATGTGTTATCTATCAAAACAAGACGAAAAATATTAAACGAAGCAACGATACACTTCATACAGACACCCTGGCCTATGGCTATTTTGTGCCACTGAGTGGTGGTGAGGAGTGTTCATATTTGCGGGGGCCTGGGTGGCTATTGAAGGTGATGGTTGTCCAAGTTTTTCGGAAATACGGGATTGGCCTGCACCCCAAGAATGATGGAGCGTCCACATATCCTCTTGTTACTTTCCATTGTGTTACCGTGGGCTCATAGCTGATTTTATGGTGGAAAGATGTATTAGTGAACATTACATTCATGACATATTTTAAAATAGTGTTAAAAACAACAGTAACCAAAATACATTTGTTTTCTGTCATCAAACTGTAGTTGGACCATCAAACCATTGATGGTCGTCCAGCCCTATCCTCTGTTGGGTCTTTTTTTTTTTTTTTTTTTTTGAGACAGAGTTTCCCTCTTGTCCAGGCTAAGAGTGTAGTGGCGCGCGATCTCGGCTCACTGCAACCTCCGCCTCCCGAATCCAAGCGATTCTCCTGCCTCAGCCTCCAGAGTAGCTGGGATTACAGCCATACACCACTACTACCGACTAATTTTGTGTTATTAGTAGAGACGAGGTTTCTGCATGTTAGTCAGGCTGGTCTCGAACTCCCAACCTCAAGTGATCCTGATCCACTCGCCTCGGGCCTCCCAAAGTGCTGGGATTACAGGCATGAGCCACCACGCTCGGCCCCCTA